CACACACACACACACACACACACACACACACACACACACACACACACACACACACACACACACATCTCGGCACAAATAGTGTCTTTGTCCTACATACACCTACCTGCCTGCCTGGTATTTCCGCTTACAATCGGGTAATCCGATAATATGAGAGTTTGTTGCTGTTGCTACTTGCTACTACTGTTGCTGTTGTTGCTGTTGCTGCCGTTGCTGCTGTTGCTGCTGCTACTACTGTTGCTGCTGTTGCTGTTGCTGCTGTTGCTGCTGCTTCTGTTGCTGCAGTTACTATTAGTAGAGTAGGAAAATGCACCCGATTGATATATTTTTCTAATGTACTTTTTTGTAATCCTCAAGGTGTCTACTAAACGAATTTGTATGGTCCCAGTACGAAATATTGTCCCATGGGGTCCGTTTGGCAGCCATATTGGAGTCCATCTAGAATTTCCGACAGAAATCGATGATCAGTGTAACTTTAGAACTAAACATCATACAGAGACAAATGACCCCATTTTTTAAGTGTAGTTTGGCATGAGGAATCGATTTCGAAAATTATTTTCACAATTTGAACCTGCTAGATACTTTAAAACTACAAAAATATACTAAAAAAAATTCCTGTAATTTACACGCAAAATCCCACAAAATACCTATCTACATACAAACCAAACTAAATAAGCTCATGAAGTCTGAAACTAAATTTCAAGACAGACATCCACCTTAGATATATGATAGTACATAACTGATATGTACATAAATGTGATGTTATACATAATATATTGTATCAAGCGAGCGAGACAATGCGCCTGGACATGTGTATTGTGATGTTTGTATATTGTATATTGCTGCCAGACTGCTAGCATTGATTTTCTCATTCCCAGACGCACGCTACAGAATTGCCGGTTTTTCCGTAGGCGTGCGGTAGTAGTAGTTTAATAGTGGGCCTGGCTGTACGCCAGCTGCTGCTGGGATGGAGTGCAGCATAGCGTGTAGTGATGCGGTGGATGCAGGGATGCAGGGATGCGGTGGATGCAGGGATGCAGGGATGCGGGGATGCTGGGATGCTGGGATGGGCTAGCGGATGTGGATTCGGATGGCAGGGAATGCGTGTGGATTAGGGATGCCAGGATGCGGGGATGCCGCAGATGGCAGCGGATGCGGGGATGCGGGGACGAAGGGGGAATGCGGGATGCACGTGATGAGCGGATGAGGAGCAGGGATGCGAGGGATGCTGGGATGCAGGGATGCGGGGATGCCTGGTGCAGGGATGCGGGATGCCGCGAGATGCGGGGATGGGGGATTGCGTGGGACAATGGTGAGCGGCAGGTGGAGGGATTGCAGGGGATGCAGGGATGCGGCGGATGAGGGATGGCAGGGATGTGGGGTGTAGTCAGACATGCAGGGAGCGGGGCGATGTGTGCGGATCGCAGGGATTGCAGGGATGCCGGGGATGCGGGGATGCGGGGAAGCGGGGACGTGCTGGGGGACGAGCGGATGCGGGGATGTGGCGGATGCAGGGATGCAGGATGCGGGATGCGGGGATGCAGGGAATGGCGGCGGACATGTGGGATGTAGAGATGCAGCGGATGCAGGGACTGCGGCGATGCAGGGATGCAGGATGCAGGGATGCGGGACGAGGGGATCGGGATGTGGCGGAATGCAGGGATGCGAGGCAATTGCGTCCGTAGGATGGCGGGGATGCAGGATGCGGGGATGTGGGGATGTAGAGATGGCAGGGATGCAGCGGATGCGGGCTGATGCAGGGGATGCATGGATGCTGGCTACTACTACTGCTGTTACTACTACTACTGCTGTTACTACTACTACTACTGCTGCTGCCTTGCTGCTGCTGCTACTACTACTGCTGCCTAACATACTACTGCTGCTGCGTTACGCGTGTGTTGTATCGTGATGTGTCAATTGCCACACTCGTGACGCTGTTGTTGTTATGTATTGCTTGCAGTGGAAAGGAACGACTCGGCGACGTAAGCTATAGCAGACGCGGCGCGTCCCACACACCTGCTCCGTCAGCATGAGTACAGCAGGTCTAGCAACATTCCGTCTTGAACCCGTGAAGAAACTCAACCAATACTGAGCCGTTCTCTCCCGAGGTGAGGTTTACCGCTCCACGAGAGCGCGGATCATATGACAGTGCCGGCGGCGGCGGCGGCGGGCACTGTCTTTTACATCGTCGTTTACGTACGCGGCGCTTGCTACGCGCGCGGCTCAGTGACACACACGGGACATTGTGTCCAGCAAAGATGTCACAACATTGCTGCCAACGAAAAATGATGCAAAGTTTCTATTTGCACGATCTGTTCGCCTTCATTATTCTGTTTATTCTTGCCATTTTCATCAGTTGTGTTCATGTAGTTGTTTCATCGTCGTCATCATTGTTTCATTGTTGTTTAGTTGTCATCATTACGTCATTGTGTTCATATGTGTGTTTCATCGTATGCGTCATTGTTTCAGGTTAACGGCGAGACGTCGTTTGAACTCGTCCCACAGATAGATCATGCAGAGTCGGCTTCACGATGAAGACACGTTCATCGACCTGGGAAGCGGTAGGTGCGCACGCCAGCCGACGCGCGCATGCCTCGTCCCGTTACTGCTTGTCTGTTCGGCCAACTGATATATATATGTACAGGGATGGGAATCGCGGATCTGCGGAATTTCAGCAGTCCGCAGGGGTCGATTTTGTGAAACGTCTAAATCCGTTGAGAAAACTTTAGGGGGGGGTTTAGAATGTACACATTTTCATTTTACAGTTCCAACAATACTTCATTCTAATAAACATTGCTAATATACAGCAGGCGTAACATTGAATAGTACAGCAGCGCTTGTAACATTGTAATCTCATTATGCAATGAACAGCACGTATTTGCAAGCGCCAGCATAGACATGTGAATTGTTATTATACATTGTATCAACAGGCGAACACGACAATGCGCTCTAGACAATACGTCCTGTCGCAGTGTAAGTACACTGTGAGAGCGTATGTAAAATGATGAAGGCCTTGTTAATACCACGTCTTGAGTGTGCAAAATAATCGAAACGGAATTCATTTCGAGCAGTGTTTTCATGCATTTGACCACTAAATATGGTGAGATTAATTGAGAAGGCGGACACATCTACCATAGCAGAGATCGACAAAGATGTGAGGAACAAGTTTCGGTGGGCTTGGTTAGAAAAATCTGTCACACTGAGTGTCAAAATCGGGAAGAAAACTGAAGAAGTGACGGAGCGGTTGAACGACTATATGTCGGAAAGTGCGATGTAGCTGGCAAGGCACAGTGTTTGTACTGCAGTGAATTTAAAACTGCCTGGACAATGAACATCTTATATTATATAAAGATTAGCCTTTGGGACAGTTTTACATTAAAATAATTTTGTTTGCAGAATGTAAGTAAATTTTTGTATTGATTATTAATTCTGGTGTTATGATAATGACAGTGCAAGATATACTCTCTGCAGTGTACTGTAATATGCTCTCTAACAATTATGTTCTGTATGTGTCTCCTAATGCAATTTTATGCCTGGTAAGTTGTGAAAATTCAAAAACTTCCTGAACCCCCTGACCAGGCTTCGCCCTGTACCTGTTAAAGTTTGTTGTGATGACTGTTCATTTGTTTGTTTGTCGTCTGCAGGTGTGGGACAGGTGGTGCTGCAGGTTGCCAGCTCTACACCGTGTAAACTCTGCTACGGAATAGAGAAAGCTGACGTACCCTACCTGTATTCTGTTGTGAGTATATTAATTACTAGTACCCTGCCATGAGTACTATTATTTTTCGGGTGGGTTACCTGCTCATTAACAGTGATATACAATGCTATACAAGAATCGCACAGGTCCTAGAATATTTGAAATTTCTGGACTGTTATTCTGTTTGTCTTTGAATCTTGTTTAAAAGCTAATTAAGAGTTTGTTTGCTAATCGTTGATTGGACAAGATGAGGCTATTTTCCAAGTCTGGAAACTTCTCGACTATTAATCTTTTTCTCGCTACAAAAGGCCTTGAAATTAAACATGTTTATATTGTCTGAGAGGGAATAAAATTTTGGTCTGGCATGAGTTGGTTCACTAATTGTTGATTGGACAAGACGACGGGCGAAGATTGTGTATGGCTGAAATATCTCACACACCGTGGCAACCGACATTTGCTCGTCGTTGCGAAATACTGTTTCGATTCGTCTTTCCATGGTTTTCATAGCTTCAACCAGACATTTCTTTAATGGAACAGCTTATTTGTCTATTTTTAGCAAATGGACGTAAATTTTAACAAGTGGATGCAGTGGTATGGGAAGACATTTAGCGAGTACAAGCTGGAGAAGGGAGACTTCCTCTCGGAGGAGATGAGGGAACGCATAAACAAGGCTTCGTAAGTCTCAGCATAAGAGAGCAATCCTCTGCCTCTTCCTCGTTCTCCCAATCATTTCCTTCCCCTTCTGCTCCAAGGAAAGCGAAAAGGAGTGATTTTTATCGTATAAGATTCTGACTGCTTCCCTCGCTCTTTTAGTCTCTCCTCCTCTGTTTGTCCTTCTGCACTTACCCTCTCTATTTCTGTTTCCCTCTCCCTCTGTCTCTCCCTTCTCCTTCTTCCTCTTCCTAACTATTGCCCCCTTCTGTCTCTCCCTCTCCTGAACCTTCTACCTCACCATCTCCCTCTCCCTCCGCTCCTTCCGCTTTCTTTAGCCCTGATTTTGCTGTTATATATGTGATGTAAGTACATATATGTTTGATCCCGCCATGCTACTGCATCATGCCATTATTGAAGTGTCTCATCTGTTTATCTACAGGATTATATTTGTCAACAACTTTGCCTTTGGTCCGTCCGTCGACCATCAGTTGAAGGAGAGATTTGCCAATCTGAAGGAAGGTGCCAAGATAGTCTCATCGAAAGCTTTCTGTCCTCTCAACTTCAAAATCACCAACAGAAATCTGAATGGTAAGATCGCTTCTGATCGCTTCGTAAGATCGCCAGTGATTGCTTCTCTCTCTCTCTCAGTCAGGGATGCAGGGATGCAGGGATGCGGGGACGAGGGGATGCGGGGATGTGGCGGATGCAGGGATGCAGGGATGCGGGGATGCGGGGATGCAGGGATGCGGGGATGTGGGGATGTAGAGATGCAGGGATGCAGGGATGCGGCGGATGCAGGGATGCAGGGATGCTGCTACTACTACTGCTGTTACTACTACTACTGCTGTTACTACTACTACTGCTGCTGCTGCTGCTGCTGCTACTACTACTGCTGCTACTATTACTACTGCTGCTGTTCGTTACGGTGTGTTGTATCGTGATGTGTCATTGCCACATCGTGACGCGTTGTTGTGTTGTATTGCTTGCAGTGGAAAGGAACGACTCGGCCGACGAAGCTACAGACGCGGCCGTCCACCAACCTGCTCCGTCACATAGTACAGCAGGTCTACAATCATTCCGTCTCTGACCCGGAGAAACTCAACCAATACGAGCCGTTCTCTCCCGAGGTGGTTACCGTCCACGCGCGGATCATGAAGTCAGTGCGGCGGCGGCGGCGGCTGTTTTTACATCGTCGTTTACGTACGCGGCGTTGCACGCGCGCTCACGTGGACACACACGGACATTGTGTCCCAGAAAGATGTCACACATTGTGCAACGAAAAATGTTGAAGTTTCTATTTGCACGATCTTTCGGCTTCATTATTCTTTTATCTTTGCCATTTTTCATCATTGTATCCTTATCTTCATCATTGTGTTCATTGTTGTTTCATCGTCGTCATTATTGTGTTTATTGTTGTTTCATCATCGTCATCATTGTTGTTTAGTCGTCATTATCATCATTGTGTTCATTGTTGTTTCATCGTTATCGTCATTGTTTCAGGTTTACGGCGAGACGTCGTTTGAACTCGTCGCACAGATGATCAATGAGATCGCCTTCACCGATGAAGACACGTTCATCGACCTGGGAAGCGGTAGGTGGCGCCACCGCCCAGCCGACGCGCGCTGCCTCGTCCGTTACTGCTTGTCTGTTCGGCCACTGATATATATATACAGGGATGGGAATCGCGGATCTGCGGATTTCACAGTCCCAGGGTCGATTTTGTGAAACGTCTAAATCCGTTGAGAAAACTTTAGGGGGGATTAGAATGTACACATTTTCATTTTACAGTCCAACAGTATCTTCATTTAATAACATTGTAATATACAGCAGGCTGTAACATTGTAATCCCATTATGCAATGACAGCATAATATTTGCAAGCGCCAGCATAAATGTGATGTGTATTATACATTGTATCAAGCGAACCAGACAATGCGTCTAGACAATACGCCTGTCTGCAGTGTAAGTACTGTGGAGGCGTATGTAAAATGATGAAGGCCTTGTATACCACGGCTTGAGTGTGCAAAATAAATCGAAACGGAATTCATTTCGAGCAGTGTTTTCATGCATTTGACCACTAAATATGGTGAGATTAATTGAGAAGGCGGACACATCTACCATAGCAGAGATCGACAAAGATGTGAGGAACAAGTTTCGCTGGGCTTGGTTAGAAAAATCTGTCACACTGAGTGACAAAATCGGGAAGAAAACTGAAGAAGCAGGGATGCGCGCGGATGCAGGGGATGCAGGGGATGCTGCTACTACTACTGCTGGTTACTACTACTACTTCGCTGTTATAGCTACTACTACTGCTGCTTGCTCGCTGCTGCTGCTTCTACTACTGCTGTACGTATCCTACTACTGCCTGCTGTTGTTACGTGTGTCGTGTATCGTGACTGCTGTGGTCATTGCACAATCGTGACGCTGTGTTGTTTTTTTGTTTTTTTTTTATTTTGTTTTTCTGTTGTATTGCTCTTGCAGTGGAAAGGGAACAGACTCGGCCGACGAAGCTACAGACGCGGCCGTCACCAAACCTGCTCGTCACATAGTTACAGCCAGGGCCTCCAAATATCCGTCTTGACCGTGGAGAAAACTCAACCAATACGAGCGTTCTCTCCTGAGGTGGTTACGTCACCGCGCGGATCATGAAGGTCAGTGCCGGGCGGCGGCGGCGGCTGTTTATTACATCGTCGTTTACCGTACGCGGCGATTGCACGCGCGCTCACGTGGACACACAGGACATTGTGCCAGAAAGATGTCCAACATTTGTGAACGAAAATGTTGAAGTTTCTATTTTTGCACGGGCATCTTTTCGCGCTTCATTATTCTTGTTATCTTGGCATTTTTTCATCATTTGTGTTCATTGTTGTTCTTCATCCGCTCCGTATCATTTTTCATTGTTGTTCTTAGTTGTCATTCATCGTCCATTGTCTGTTCATGTTGTTTCATACCCTGTTATCGTCAATTGTTTTTCAGCGTTTACGCGCCGAGACGTCGTTTGAAATCGCTCGCACAGAAATGATACAATGACGATCGCTATCATCCGATGACGACACGCTTCATCGACCGGGGTAAGGCGGTAGGTGGCCGCCATCCGCCCCAGCTCGAGCGCGCGCTGCCTCGTCGTATACTGCTTGTCTGCTTCGCGCCACTGATATATATATACAGGGGATGCGCGAATTTTTCGATCTGCGGACTTTTCACAGTCCCAGGGGCGTCGATTTTATGTGAAACGTCTCAAAAATCCGTTGAGAAACCACTTTAGGGGGGGTTAGAATGTACACATTTTCTTTTACAGTACCATACGAGTTACTTCATTTTCAATACATTGTAATATAAGCAGGCTGTAAACATTGCTAATATACAGGCAGGCTGTAAATTTGTAATCTCATTAATGCCATGACAGCCCATATTGCACAGCGCCAGCACTAAATGCTGTGGTGCATTTATACATTGTATCAGAGCGAACAGACAATGACGTCGTAGACATACCGCCTGTCTGCCAGTGTAAGTACTGTGGAACGCGTATGTAAAATGAATGAGGCCTTGTGATACCACGGCTTGAGTGTGCCAAAATAAATCCGAAACGGAAAATTCAGTTGTCGAGCAGTGTTTTCATGCACTTTGACCACTAAATGGTGAGATTTAATGAAGAAGGCGGACACAGTCTACCATTACAGAGATCGACCAAGATGTGAGAACAAGGTTCGGTGCGGCTTGTTTAGGCAAAAATCTGTTCACACTGAGTGATCACAAATCGCGAAGAAACTTGACAGACAGTGACGGAAGCGGTTGACACGACATATTGTCGGAAAGTGCGATGTAGCTTGGCAAGGCACCAGCTCGTTCTGCTACTGCAGTGAAATTTGAAAACTGCATGGCAATGAACATGCTTTATATCTATATAAAGATATTAGCTTTGGGACAGGGTTTTACATTAAAATAATTTTTTGTTTGCAGAATGTAATGTATTGTGGTATTGATGTATTCTCTCTTGGTGTTATGATACATGGACAGTGACCAGATATACTCCCTGCAGTGGTCTTTCTTTTTTTTTTTTCTTTTTTTTTATTTTTTCTACTGTAATATGCTCTATACAATTCTGTTCTGTTATGTGTCTCCTAATTGCATTTTATGCCTGGTACAGTTGTTGAAATTTCAAAACTCCTAACCCTGGACAGGCTTCGCCCTGTACCTGACCGCCCCCGGCTACCCTCCCCGTCAACTCCCTCCCCGGCTGGATCGGCTATTGTTCGCCCTGAAAACACAAATGTCATTCCCATCCTGTATATAGGAGGGCGGGAGGCAGTGCACAGAGTCAATCATCTATATATGCCGCATATTACTATATGCGCTATCGATTATATAGTGTGCAATTTGATTATGTGCTGCATACTTATATATGTGAAGCAATATTACTCATCATGTGCAATTATATGTGTGGCACAGTAATATCCATCGTGTGCAATATTATATATGGGCAAATAAGAACATGAGCTGCACGCGTGTACGTTAGTACTGGTGATCATTTGTTAGTGGTAAGTTTGACTTGCGATGACTGCTTACATTTGTTCTGTTTGTCGTCGGCAGCGTGATGGGAAAGGTGGTGCTGCAGGTCGCCAAGCTCTACACCGTGTAAACTCTGCTACGGAATAGAGATAAGCTGACGTACCCTACCTGCTATTCTGTTCGTGAGTATATTAATTACTTAGGATCCCTGGCCATGAGTACTATTATTTTTTTGGGTGGCGTTACTTAGCTCATTAACAGTGATATACGATGCTATACAAGCGTTCACACAGGTCTCAGCATATTTGAAATTCTGTTACTGTTATTTTGTTTGTCTTGAATTCTTGTCCTTAAAAAGCTAATGTAAGAGTTGTTGTTTGCTAATCGTTGTTGACAAGATGAAGGCTATTTCCAAGTCTGGAAAATTCTTCGACCTATTAATCTCTATTCTCGCTACAAAAAGGCTTGAAATTAAACATGGTTTATATTGTCTGAGAAGCGGAATAAGGTTTGGTCTGGCCATGAGTTGGTTCCCACTATCGTTGATTGCGACAAGACGACGGGCGAAGGTTGTGTATGGGCTGAAAAATTATCTCACAACACCGTGGGCACGACGATTTGCTCTGTCGCTGCGAAATAACCTGTTCGATTGTCTTCTCCATGTGTTTTCATAGCTTCAACCTTCAGAACATTTCCTTTTAAGTCGGCAACAGCTTATTTATTCTATTTTTAGCAAAATTTGGCACGTAAATTTCTTAACAAATGGATGCCAGTGGTATGGGAAGAATTTAGCGGAGTACAAGCTGGAGAAGGGAGACTTTCCTCTCGGAGGACATGAGGGAAGCATAACAGGCTTCGTAAGCTCTCAGTCGATGAGAGAGCAATCTCTGCCGCTCACTGTTCTCGTTCTCCCACATCATTTCTACCCCCTATCGTCTTCTTATACGGCTATCCCCGCCAAGCGACACCTATAAAGCCGTAACAGACCTCTGTCTTCTCTCGCCCCCCTTCAATTTAACCCAATGCCCGCACATCTCCACGATAGTCTATCCCGAATCTCGGGTTTTACCGTGCTCAGCTA